GCCCAGGTCCCTTCCACCTGGTCACACCTGCCTCTGAACTCCCCAAGTGCAGCATCACTGCTGGGCTGCAAACAGCCCCAGGCACAGCGATATTGGCTACCAGCTGCTCTTCCTTCCCCAGCCCTATGATGCCAGGAGAGGCATGTGTCCCCCACTGTCATGCTGATGGGGTGATGTTGTATGCTATCAGTAATGTGAAAATAAAAGATTCCTCCCTCCTTCTGGAAGCTTCCCTGCTAATTTGTGGTGCTCAGGGCCACCAGTGGCTTCTTAGGTCCTCTGCCCCTTGCCGTGGAGTTAGTTGAGCCTGGCTGTTCAGCAGAAGGTCCTTGGGAACCAGCCCTTTATGGCCCATTGTAGGCTCTGCTGGGGCCCAGCTGCAGAGTCTCAGGCACAGAGTGCTTTCTATTAGACCCTGGGCTCTCGGTCTGTCTACCTTGCTTGGAGCCCAGAGGGTGGAGATGGGTTGGGGGAGACCAGAGCCTTACTGGGTCCCCATCTGCATCTTAACCTCAGCCCTTTTAAACAGCTGAGGTGTAATAGTTTTGAGTTTATATGTCCTCCCACCCCAAATCTATATGTTGAAATCCTAACTCCCAAGGTGATGGCGTTAGGAGGTGGGGCCCTTGGAGATGATGGGGTTGGAGGATGGAGCTAGACAGCCCTTCCCTGAGCTCTCTGACCCTTCCACCTTGGGAGGACACAGCAAGAAGATAGCTGGCTATGAACTAGGAAGTGGCACTCACCAAACATGCAGGCTTCCAGTGCCTTGATCTTGGACTTCCCGGCCTCCAGGACTGTGAGCGATAAACATCTGTTACTTATAAGCCACCCTGTCTCTGGAGCTTTGCTGTAATATCCTGAACTAAGACAAGGGGTGGGGGATGACAGCCTGGGGCCCTGGAGGCTGGAGTTTCTGGAGGTGCTAGAAGACGCCTGTGGAGGTGACTGGGCCAGCACCCACCGTTTGTAGATGACGATGCCGAGGCCTGGAGAGGGGAGCCCCTGTCCAGGGTCTTGGGGCCAGTTGCTGGCAGAGCCGAGGTGAGCACAGGCTGCCGACTCCCCTCACTTTTTCCTGCCCAGCTGCAGCTATAGGTCCTTGGCCTTTCTAGTTTTGGGTGCCCTTCTTCAGGATAGGACCCGTGTGTCCAGGAGACCCAAATTCCAGGGGCTAGAAAGTACAGGGGAGGTTTGGGGAACAGGGTACTTCAGTGTGGCACCTGGGCTTCGCAGTGGGGTGCAGGGACAGGTGAGTCAGGGCCATGCAGCAAAGGAGCCCTCAACGGCTTTTCAGCAGAACAAGCTGCCCAGAGCAACTGTCTGCAGAGCTCAGCTGCAGGGTGTGAGTAGACCAGAAGGAGCAGGTGAGTCAGGGTTGTGGCGCAGTCTCTACCAGTCCCGGACACAGGACCCAGGCTTCTTCAGTTCCTCTGTGTTAGGCGGACCCCCTTCTTTCATGACCTTTCTTTGAATTTCAAGCTGGGGCAGCATTCAGCCACATTTCTGTGCAGAAGCCTTAGGGAGATGTAGCCACACAGGGCCAGGCAGGCCTGAGTGGAGGGAAGACCATACCTTGGGGTGAAAAGGGATATTGGGTGGCTTGATGGCCTGGGAGAACAAGGCCCTCCGTGGCTCAATGAGTCTTCGTGTAAGTGCAGTATTTCTAAGCACAGGTGGCTGGGTGAAGGTGTTCTGGTTCCTAGGCATTTGATTCCAGGAGAAGGGCTCAAGGTAGGCCAAGTGCCACTCAGAGGCCATGTAGCTGAGACCTTGACCCAACACATGCCAGACTTCCTCACAGACCCATGTGGGGGAGTACACAGGCCTGACTGCAGCTGAGGGTTCAGGGAAGTCCTGGGACCCCTGAATCCAGGAGGGACAGGCTGTGGTGGCGTGCAGGATCCGTGGCAGGCGGCCCTCCTCCTTCTTCAAGTTCCCAGCTCTACAATTGCCTGGAGCTCGCCTTGTCCTCTCCTCCAGGACTCAGAGCCTAGAAACTGAGCACAGGTCAGGGGATCTGGAATGAAGTGAGAAATTGCAGCAGGAACCGGGGGTCACTTTCGTAACTATTGAGCCAAGCTTTTCTCAGAAAAACGCAGAAGGGACAATGGCTTGCTAAAGGAACCTTGGCAATGCGGGAATGCTTGTACTTGTAGAGTATTATTTTTAGTTAGTTAACATTGGAGTGCACCCTGTGTGCCAGGAACTGTGCTCAGCCTTCATAAGGTGTATCCCTTAATCCTCATGATGACTCTGTAAATATCACCTCCACTTTCCAGATGAGGAAACAGAGGCACAGATTGTTGACACTCAGGCCCAAGGCTTCGGGCCAAGCTTTCCTCTCTGTGGCTGTGCGGGGTGAGCAGAGCAGCAGAGGGGCAGCAAGGCATCCCGGGAGGATGGGGCAGCTGCTGTGCAAGGGTCCTCTGAAGGACATTAGGCTTTGCCCTCCTTTGAACAGATCCTCCTGTCCTTGGGGCCTTTGACATAAGCCTTAGAACAAGGGAGAAATCTAAGCTTTTCATTTTCAGAGAAAAGAGACCATGTGAGTTTTGAGTGGAACCTGATCCTGGAGAAGTGCAGCCTGTGCCCCAGTCACCCAGCAGGAACCCTGCAGGCCCAGCGGGAACTTCCCACCCCGGGGAGCCTGGACAGAGCCTGCCCCCACTGCCCAGCCCCTGGTCCCCCCTCCTGCCTGGCCTCTTCCAACCAGGAACCCCTGGCCCTGTTGTTTCAACTGCTCAGGGCAGGCTTACCGGCTATTGTTCTTGGATGGATTTCTGTGATCTTAAGACCTTTGAGAAAAGAGCAAACAGCTAGGAAAACACAGGGTAGTTAAAAAATGTTTGTGATTTTTGTGCTGCATGAAACAATAGAGGCATTTGGGAGACTCAGCATTGTTCTGGGGCAGCAAGGAAGAAACAGGCCTTTGAGGCCCCCTTGCTTTGGTGGGATCCAGCTGCTTGTCAGGGGATGTGGTTGGGGCTGCTTCCCCAGTGCCAGGCACCTCCTCTGCATGGGGGGCTGGGAGCAGATTTATACTTAATCGCCTTTTTTCCTCACATGGTTTCCAGCCCCTTCCAGCCCCAATGGTTTCATGCCATCCACCCAACCCTTACTGGACACCTTTGACTGCCTGTCCTCAGAAGAAATATTAAAGCCATACTTATAAAGCAGTCTATGAAGCACATGATAATCATGTGATTTCTTTCACAGAATCTTTCTTTCAGTTTCTTTATATAGATGTTATCTCCATTTTTTCAAACACCAAACTGAGGCGTAAAGCAGGGAAGGGTTCCCTGGTGTCATGTGGGTAATGATGGACCCTGGACGGAGCATGATTCTTTTAAGACTCCTAAAGAGTCCTCCTCCTAGGAGCTCAATCTTGAAAGCTTGTTTCCTCAACTTCTTAGGAATTCTGAAACATTGTGGACACACTATTGTTTTTATCCATGACAGTGAGTTCTGAGATTGGGGCTTCAAACTGCAAGCCCAGCCCCTGTCCTTTGGACTTGGTAGGGTTTGCACTGACGGAATTGAACTCACTGCAGCTCCTTTCTGCTTTTAGCCCCCAGAGCGTGGACCCAGAGGCCCAGGTCCACGGGGCCTTGGTAAATCTGTAAAGGCACCATCCCCAGCCTCATTCCCCAGCTGGCCCTGTGCCCTGCCACAGCTCAGTGTTGGTGAGGAAGCCTTGATGCTCCTGAGGGTGCAGTCTAGTTGTATCTCCCTGTTCCTCCCCTCACGCCATGTTTCATTTAATTGGCACAGCCTTTCCTGCACACCGTGGTGAAGTGACTGGGGAGGGCCTGTGGCTTTCTGTGTTGTAATGCCAGTGATAGCCAGGAGCTCTCTTCTCTCAGGGGATGTATCTGTTCTGGAGGAGATTGGAAGGGCCTTTAGAAATGCCCTCTCCACCACTGCTTCTCATAGAAGCATGTGTGTTCCTTTGGGGATAGGGGGCTCTGCCTGCATCCAGTCAAAATGGCCGTGTCTCCCTGAGGAACTGAGGCTTGACCTGGCCTCAGGAAGTGCCTGGGTGAATGCTGGCTCCAGGGGTGGGACTGGGGCTGTTTAGTTAAGGAGGAGAAAGCTCCTGGGACATACAGTATCTGACTCATTGCTGGTAGCCACCATATAGGACATGGAGCCCACAGCAGAAACCTTCAGCAAGCTCTGTGTAGGGAGAACTCACTAAACTATAGTTCTCAGGAAATAGAGATGTTATCCTGAGCTGGGTAAATCTGTTTGCCCTGGAAAATCTCCAGTGTTACTGTGAATGGAGGCTGTGGTGCAGGGGCTGGGGAATGGCTCCTCAAGTGCTGGGTGGGCACAGGATGGTCACCCCCTGGGACACCTGTTGGCCTGTGATTAACATCCTCAACTGTTGCCTTTAGTGACAACTGCCCACAGGAACTGAGCTGGGAAGAGCTTCACAGGAGAGAGAGG